TTTGAGTATATCCGTGGTCTTGGTCGTGGTCGGACATCGTCATCTAGTCGTAGTCAATCTTCATCGTCTGTGAATATGCCCCTGAGAACTGGTACGTTTTGGTTGTTTACATTGCACATAGTTTTAAAGTGTTACTCCTGCCTTCTTAACTGTCTATAATTATATGGTGAATAGGAAGAAACGATGTTGATCAGTTTCCGTACAAGGAAAGGATACCTGCGATCATCATGCCGTACTTGGAAGGGTGGAATGATGTAGTCGGAGATGGTAACTGCAGATTCCGGGTCGTGGCTGATGTTTTTCAAATGGGCGAAGACAACTACGGTTTGGTGCGTCAGTTGATGTACAACGAAATTGCCTCTAACCGAAATGTTTATCGTCATGTGTACCAGGATGACTTGGATGGCGCTCTGCGGCGTATCTGGTGGGGAGGTGGACCTTGCGGCCAAAATCATTATTTTAACGCGCCCCTAGATCTGTTTGCCGTTGCAAAAATTTACAAATGCGCAGTCATGCATTTCGGCCTGGGAGTGCATAGTCAAGCTTATTATCCTTGTACCACGGTTCTCCCTTGGCGGTCGCGTGAGACTATCACCACACCGGTCAGAGAGCTAGCTATTGCGTTTCTTGGGTCGTCATACAAACATTTCATCCGACTAGACATGTCATCCGATTTTCCAGTGCCACCGATTATACCTTGGTGGTACAACATTCGCACAGCGAGCGTAGAGGGTTGGGATGCGCTATATCATCACCGGATCCACGAATGGAACACCTTAGCTGCATTTTAGTTTTTCATGTTTACATTCTTCCTATGTAATCTTATTTGTACGTTGCTCTTTTAATGAGAACATTAATCTTTTATATTGTATTGCTTACTGCATTCTATATGTTGCATGGGTAAGTTGCGCGGATCCACGAACGGTTATATCAAAATTTAAAAACAGCAATGATAATATGTTTAAGTTGGAAGCTAAAAGAACAATCTAAAATGTTACAAACTTACAACATAATGTCCAATTTAATAAATTAAAACGATAATATTTAAAGTGCTCTATAAATAAAATGACAAAACCATCAGTAATCCCTCCTCGACGACGACTCCCACTGCGCATGGGTCTGTTCCAGACTATCAACAACAGCTCTCACTGTTGCACTCATGTTGTCCTTCTCAAGAGAGAGTTTCTGTACGTCCTGCATTATCTTTCCCATCCACTGCATACAACAAAAAACAAAAGATGAAATACAATACCAACATATAAAACTTAATTAAAAGACAACGATAAATATAATATGAGACATACCGCTTCCATGGCAGTAGGCGGTGGCACATAATCATCATCGCTGTGGTCGAGATCTGCGATCAACCTCGGGTGCGAATACCGGTTGAACCATTCCATGTAGTAATGGTCACACATGGGAGGAACCCCAGAGGGCGGCCGCTGCAACTCCGCAGTCCATAAGCGGGCCACCATCGGAAACTAGTCCCACGTCCCGGTCATGATATCCGGCCATTGCACGACGTAGTCTCTCGACGATGCAGGTCGGATCGCCTTCATCGGGCATGCCGGGGGAGGAGGGACAACTTGGACAAATCCAAGCTGGCGAAGACAACGCTGGGGCATGTACGCCTCGACGATCTCACGATACTGAATGAGTCCCGTGTACAGGGTCCTGGGTACCCTAACACTAGGGTTCGGGCCGAAAGGCATCCAGTTCACCTGCACATAGTTTTAAAATTTAATAACATGAATATAATATGTGCAAATAATAAAATGTAGAAACAATTTATAAACGTTACCTTTAAGGGGGACAGCCTGTCCAGCAATAACCGTATCGATCGGAGGCGGTCAACGGACTTCTTCTCCGAGCGCGGACTCCACGCACAAGCACGAGGCATCCCCTCATCAATAGGAACCGGGTCACGATGTGGTCGCAATGCAGGAAAGTACTCGTATATCCAGGTCTGCAATAGAGTCAGACACCCAGTGATACCTGCCGCGTCAGCCCGACTCGCAAATCCTAGTTGGCGATACAAATACGCCAACGTAGCCGATCCCCAGGAAAACTGGCCAAGACTGTCGGGGTCACACGCCTCTACTATGTCGCGTGGCCTGAGCTTGTTTCCGCCACTCTTATCCGGAAACAAGGTACATCCGAGGAGTAGAAAAACATAAGCACTCAGCTGTGCGTTGTGCGTCCTACGTGCACTGGGGTACAAACACCGCTGCAACACGGATGCGATCTTCACACCTCCGTGTTCCCAAACACCTAGCGCCTCGGTGTACAGTGCAGCCCTGTCCACCGCCAACAACTCCGCCAGCAAATCTGCCTGATCCGCATCAGCCACAGCACAAAGTCGTTTACCCTCAACACGAATCCCCAGAATGGCCTCGACGTCATGTAACATGATCGTCATCTCACCGAACGGAAGGTGGAAAGAGTTTGTATCCAGCTGCCATCGCTCAATGAAAGCCGTGATCAGCGTACTGTCAATCTTATCGTGCATGGTGGCAGGAACATGATTCACCCCAGTGCCCTCCAGTCGCTCGAACATCTCGCTCTCCGCCGGCCAAGCCTCAGCCCATGTACGCAAAAAGCTACAAGTCTTTTCCCGGGTATGACATTTCAACAACCCCGTAACTGAAGGCCTCTCCTGGTCCTCCCAAATACGGGCAGCTATGTGTCCTAGAAAGCTAGGAATCACACTCCCGTCAACAGGCCCACCGGGCACCTCACTCCTAACAACCCAAGAATCATTACCGGCCCTCGACAGTTTCCTGCTTGCCCCAGATACAGTGGACGCAGATGATGTGCCAGATCTACTAACAAACCTACCACCCCTACCCTTACGCACCTCCACCATATGTGTCTCGTACATGTCATCAACCCTCTGACTGAATGGACCGTAATCATCATACGGTCCACTGCCATCGTCCACATCCTCATCCTCATCTGCGCCCTCCTCCTGCTCCTCCTCCTGGTCACCCTCCTCAGCATCATCATCGTCATCGTCATCCTCATCCCGACGGTGGATCCGTTCTCTACGAGCTGAGGCCGAAATACCACGGGATCTGACATGTCTATGCCCCGACCTCTCCACTGAATAGCTTCTACTAAGAAGCTCTACATTCTTCCCCGCACCATGACGACCCAGTGAATTCTATACAAAATTTTAAAAATATATAAACATACAAAAATTTATACGAAAAATAGCTACCACTACCCAAATCAAATAAACTAAAAACATACTAACAAATTAACATAATAAAGAAATTAAAAAAACACTTAAATAAAAATAATAGAATAAAAAATACACTTAGAAAGGAAATAAAACCAACACAAAAGAATATATATAAACATAAATAATTCATTCCCAATTAAAATAAATTAACTAACCAAAAACAATATCAATAATAAAATTTAAAATAAATTAACTAACCAAAAACAATATCAAAGTCACAAAAAAAATATAAAAACAAATCAAAATAGAGAATAAAAATAAAAATGTACAAAAAAAACAAACAAATAATTGTAAACAAAATATAAACATAGAAAAAATACAACAAAATTGAAAAAATTTATAAAAATAAACAACAAAATATAAAAACAATTCAAAAAGATATTACACAAAAAAAAATAAAAAAATAAAAACAATATTTTAAAACAAATATAAAAAAAAAAAGAAAAAAGAAAAAAAAAAACGGAGGTGGGGCGCCTTTGCTGGACGCCCAGCCAGCGGTGGTGGCGCCAGCTGCAGACGCCGCCACCAGTGGGCTGGTGCCTGGGCTGGACGCCACAGCCACGGCTGCGGCACCTTGAATAAACGCCACAACCGTGGCTATGGCGTCCAACCCAGGCGCCAGCCTACTGATGGCGGCGTCTGCAGCTGGCGCCACCACCGCTAGCTGGGCGTCCAGCCAGGGCGCCCCACCTCCGTCAAAGCGGTTTTCCCTTTTTTTTTTTTTTTTTTTTTTTTTACAAATTGTACCTTGCCTCCTTGGGACCTCCTTCCTTCCGCCGCCGCCGCCAATTCCTTGCCTTGCCGCCTCGACATTGCCGTTGTTTGAATTTTTTTTTTTAGAGAGGTTGAAAGAAGATGAGCGATGAGAGTGTGAGTGTTTTTTTTTTAGGTCAAGGGCAATATTGTCAAACCAAGTGAATTTTGTGGGCTTTATGTAGTAATTTGTGGGCGATGTTTAACAAATCCCAAAAAAAAATACTTAGGTAAGAAGACCAGATCGGAGAGCACCTTTCGGACCCAAGATCCAAAACCAAAATAGCAAAGAACCTCAAAACGACAAACCCTAACCCTAACTTCACCGTTTCCATCACGAACCATTCTTGACGGCGGCGTTAGGCCTAGCCTTCTAGTGCAATGATCCATGAAACCCTAATCCTAACTTTACCGTTTTCGTCACGAACAATATTGAAAGTTGATCTTATAACATGTTATTAACAGTACAAAGATGTTAAGAGAAATTGCTAAGATATTGGAACCCGCTAATAGATAATGACATTAAGGAGATAAAACTAATTAGTTATTGAAGGATGAATTTAATGAATTTTAATGATACTGGTAGTTTTTTTTTTTTTTTCGTCGTTTTATACTTGTTGAAAATATGGGACCAGTTTGTAGTTTTGTAAAATCTATAATTTTGAGGCTTTAAAATGGGACTAAAGCCCAACACGAACTAGGCCATGGACTAGGTTAGTTATGCATTTGCAAATGTATAACAAATACTAAAATATTAAAAAGCACGTGGGGGTGAGAGGAAAGAGATGGGTAAGTGGGGCCACTTTTTAAATATATTGTTGAAAGCTTAGATAGTATCATTGATTATATAGTAATACTATTTCTACACGTAGTGAATACTACTGAATGAATCTATAGTACCACTACATACATAAATAGTACCACTGAAATGTTCAATGATATATTTTGATCATCTAGTGGTACTACTTTAAATTCAGAAATGCATTTACGTAAAATGACCCCATGCCCTTTTTTATGCATTTATTCATATATCACATATTTTTTGTCTTCCTCTCTCCTCTATCACGTTCTCATTAGCATTCTTCTCCTCGTTTTCCTCTGCTTCACATCTTCCTTAAATTCCCATTGTTTATTCCCCTCTTTTAATTTAGCTGTCTTCGTCCACTTATTTCGCTCATTTTCCTATCCTCCCACTTTCTCTCTCTTCCTTCTCTTCCCCCAATTCGCGAACCCTAATGACGGCGGTGGTAATGTTGGCTTTGTAATTAGCCATTGAAAGAGACTTCAATGAATTCGATTATGAAACTAATTCAATCATAATTTGTTTCTGAAGAGTAATTATCAGAATATGAATGATGGAGGTAATTATGAGTAAAGTCTGCCGCAAAGTTTTGCTTTATTTAAGCATACTAAGAACTTATTGTAACTGATTCTTTGCTTTGATTGTGCAGAAGGTTTAGGTGTCATAAGTAAAAATTATTAGCTTGTTATTTCATTTTGATTAAGAATAAATTGATTTGGAGATGATATTATATTTATTGCAGGGATGCTTACAGATTTGTTGTTATTCCTCGGGAGTCGGGATGTGCAAAGCTATAGTGACTGTGCTAAATTGTGGAGGTACTAATTTTCTAAGGTACTGCGTATGTTAGAACATAAGGTTATGTTTTTCGTGTTTGCAATCAATTGATGAACTGTGAAGGGATTATAAAGAACTTTTATGCTTTGACTTGGGCTACTAAACCAGTCCATCACAAAACTATGCCCCTTTTCTACCATTCTGTAGCATTTTTTAAAACTTTCATGATCCTACTCTAAATTAGTCTAAGTTTAGTAAGCTGTGAAATATGGTATTATTTTGGAAAAGATGGTGCAAATTTACAAGTTGGATGGACTATAGAACCCCAAGAGACTTAAAATATGATCAGAAGGAGAGAAGGTATTTTAGTATTGTATACTTTATATACTCTAACAAGATATGTTGTCAATTAATCCTGAACAAGCTAAAAGTATGAAACTTTATTAGAATATGCTATTATGCTGTAATATTTTCCCATTAATACCAGTTGATTATATTTGTGTACTATTATTGGCATCTTCTATATTATTATTGTCTAGGTATGACTAGGGTAGCTACTAGTTCTTACCATCTTATGTAATGCAAAAGTATGGTTCAAGAAAGCAGTAAGAAGCGATGAGGAAAACTTCACTTCTCCACCACAGCATATGCACAAAGTGTTGGAGGTACAGCAGATTAGAGCCCCTTAGTCTTTATTTAAATGGCTTTTATTTATTTGTTTATTTATCAATCAGCTTCTCAAGTTCTTAACTAGCCTGAGTTCATCATTATGCAAGTTTGCAGTGTTTTCCCCCCCCCCCCCTCTCTCTTTTTTTTTGGTTGTGTGATTATATCCTAAAACCTCTGCACATCTGAATTGTGTACAACAAGTATGTTTAGTTTTTCCTTTGACAGTTGGACTGGTTTCACTAATACCATTTAGTCTTGTCTTGTAAAAATAAAATGATCAAATCCTCTAGAATTATTGTGTCTGGCTGTCCTAATCGAATGGATTTGTTTTTTTTTTATTTATTTATATATTATGAAAATAAAAATTTGAAAGATAAATTGAATATTCTATTCATCCTTAATTTAATACCAATCATTCCTGAGCTCAAATTCGAGAGGAGGGTTATATTTTCTCTTGTAGTAATTAGCACTTCAGAGATCATAAAGGTCTTTGATAATTTGTTTATACACCGTCAACAATTCCGCGATAATCAGAACTTAAGTTGGCTGTAGTCGTTAGTTTTAGGCTCTACTTTTCTACGAATTAGCTTTTATTTTCCTAGTTTTAATGCTTTAATTATGTTCAATTTTGCCTATTTTGTTTTGCCCGTCCTGCTTTGTGTTGAAATCTATTTGCCCTGTTTTGTTTTGAAATCTATTTTGCCCTGTTTTGTTTTGAAATCTATTTTGCCCTGTTTTGTTGAAGGAACTAATATAACCAGAAGGGAAGCCCAGCAACGTTGTGCTGAAGCCGCTTTTGATGAATTTGGCTGGTAAGGTTACCTGAATAAAACTTCGATCTTTCGTTTGTATTATATGTCATTTTCTTCTCTGCCTCTCTATGATTCCTTAATATGTGAGGCTTTATGTATCAATAATCTTGGCTTTACTGCTACAATAACATATCCTTTATGGAGATGCTGTCCCAAAATACTACTCCATGCCTTTCCAGTATGGAGATGATGTCCTGTTCCTAGGAAACAAAGCAGTGCTGGGCTGTAGGGGATTCTCAAATAGCTTTTCTTTGGTGCTAAAGCCTATCTACTCGCCACACTATCAAGGTAACTCCTAATATTATCATACTCCTATAAAAACTCCTATTTGTATACCAAATTACTAATCGGTCATCTATTCCTTTCAGCATGCCTCAGTTTTTTTTTTCCCCTCCCTTTTTAGTGTGAGAATTGTGAGATTAGATGTATTCCTTGTTGCCTTTAATTAACCTTGTGTTGTGGGCTATTGCTTTGCATTTCTGATTTCACATTGAAGGACTCTTTTACATTACTTATATCTTTTGGTGACTCGTATCTTCTGGCTGACATTGTACTTGGTTATTTTGTGATTACACAAAAAAGATTTTCTTTTCTCCTGACCCTCTTTATTTCATTGCAAAATCAAGTAAAGGGTTTAGTTTTATCAGAAGCCAAAGAATGATGAGTTTATCTGCTACTACTGATTTTTCTTTTGTTATGCTAAATTGCATATACTCGGTAGTTATTTGATTCATATATATATATATATATGTAATTTATTGGTGATTATGAGCATTTGATACTTGTTAATTGAAGATTGATATATACCCATATTAGTCTGATGCTAGCACACCACAAAGTGATGCAAGTAGGGGTCAGATTCCCAGTGAGATGAGATTTGTTAGTGATTCAAATTCGAGAATTGTGAGATTAGATGTATTCCTTGTTGCCTTGAAATTGGACATGATAAATTCGTCTCATGCAGTCATGCTCTCATATTATTAAGAGCAAGCTAGGTAGCTAACTATCACTCAGTACAAAAGTTGAAGTGCTACCTACACATGAATAACCTAGCCGACATAGTTCAACCATTAGCTAAAAGTTTGGATGCAGCACTAGTTTTTTGTTGAAGTATATTAAACATTTCTTGATGCTAGATACTTTTACTTGGACTTATACTCTTAAGGATCAGACATGACCATCTGAAATTATTGCATGAATTTATTTCAAAATGATCGACTATTGTACTCATATCATGTGACACAACTACTTTAGGTGAAAATAAGTTTGAAGAGTCTAGACTTATCACTAACATAGCTGCTACAGACAAGTTTATTGTTCGTACAACTGGGATTAATTTACATGTATTCAAGAAGATGTAGTCAATTTCTAGCTCCAAATGTTATCAATGAATTCAATTTTTTTCAGTTTCATAACTTCATAAGGAGCAATATGATTTCTAATAGATGGGTAGAGAACTTAACCTTCTACATATCATGTATAGTTTTTGAGTTCATCCTCTTTTGTCTTGATTACAGTCCAGACTTTAAATCAAAAAAATTGTTAAACAAGCTAATAAAGTTTTCTTAAGAGGGGTAACGGGGTTGCATTTGATCCGCCGAAGAGGAAGCATGGATGGTTTGACCCTCTCCACAGCGTGTCCACTATGTTTTATTGTCTGAAATTCTCTGAAGTGCACCCTTTATGCTGATTGATACTTTATAAGCTCCATAAACAAGTCCAATAACTGTTTGAGAGCCCTTTCTTGTAACTCAGGCTCCTCTTCAAGTCAATGACTTCTTTGGTTATTTGTCAATGACTAAGATTTATTTTAATACTCTTGGTGGAATCTATCTGTGAGACTTGTGGGGTCTCATAGTTATTGCATTGAATACTGAATTGTGACGAGGGGTTGAATAATAGAAGAAATGGAGAATATGAAAGGCTGCAAATTGATTTATTAGAGATCAGAAGACAGATTGATATAGAGATCTTAAGGGCATCTTTTCCACCATGTGAATTTTGAAAATGAGGTAGAACACTTTAATAGAAAAATAAACAAAGGCGACATATAAAATGTCTCGAATAGCTTTGAAGTTGTCCTGTAGTTTGATGACTTTGATCCTGCTTTTCTCAGCATAGTTATACCAGAACTTTATGTTTGGTCCTGATGTGTGTCTCTACTGTGATGTTTTGCTGAGGAAACATTTGAATGGTCCCTGTGAGAAAATATGCTGTATTGTGTGGACCTACTTTCTTGGGACTGGTTGAGAGATTAATTACATACTAGTATACTACCTATTAGCTTGTTATTTAGTGTTTACTTGTCCATTTAACCTCGTTCTACCATCCGATTTTGCAGTTGGACAGAAATTACTATGTGATGCTCTTTGTTCCTGTTGGGTACACCTTTGGTGCTGGTATGTTTAAGATGGACAGATTGGACACAATACGTGGAGGTTCTCCTTATGGTGCTGGAGTTTTTGCAAAAGATGGCACTGGAGAACTGATACTAAGCTAGCACTCGCAGAGCACCAAGGCAAGTTTATGGCAGCAGTTTTCAAGAGCCTTGCCAATCCCTGATATTCCTCCATCATTCAGGTTTCTGTCACATTCGATGGATTCCAAATTATGTGCCCCTTCGACTGAATTATATATGTCCCATTAATTATATTGATATTTTGGTTTTCAGATATAGCCATCTGGCCACTGTATAGATTTACAGGGCTTTTTGGTTTTCATTTTCTTGTTCTTGTTAATGTTATTATTATTCTTTTATTTTTTATTTATTTATTTTATTATTATTAATTTATTTTTTTTTGTTTATTTTGTTGTGATGTATTCATGGAGTAAAGTTGGTGTACAAATTCATTTGTTTTAATAAGACTGAGGTCTAATAGTTTTAAGTTATTGTGTTTCTCTGCTGTCTTTATATTCCGTCTGTTTGAAATTACTTTTAAATTTTTTTAATCTGTTCAAAATTAAGAGTATATAACTTTAAGTCATTACCAGGAATGTTAATCTTCCTTTAAGCCATTTTGTTACCGTTATTATTGTTTTTTTTTTTTTTATTTTATATATATATATATATATATTCTAAAAGCTTTTCACCTAGCCTCATTCGTAATATGTTTTACATTAAATATCACTCTGTCGATCAACATTCACTAATTTAACACAACGAGTTTAATTCTACAAAATTGTGGGGGGCGTTCGCGTTGCGGGCCTACAACTAGTACAGTACAAATATATGAAAGCCAACATAATTCCTAATAATTACCTAAACCCCCCCCCCCCCACACACACACACAATGACAATAAAATCCTTATCCACACCTCACTAACCATGCAGTTACCACCCACTAACCACGGTAAATGCAAGTAACCGCCAATTCCTCACATTTATATACAAAAGAAAAAAAAATCAAAACCTTCATTTTAGACCCATTTTTGTGAAATTCTCTCTCATCAAAACCAAAATTTCACATGAAACTCACTACAAATTGCTTCAAAATTATTGCAAAGAGCATCAAAATATTTAAAAATGGCTGACATTCGAGGTGAAGTTTGTCAATCGCAACTAAATTCTGAAAAAGAAGAGTAAGAATTTGTTCATTTAACTAAAATTTTGAGTGTAAACCCTAGATTTTATATTTTTTTCATTTTGATATTTTAAAACAAAATCTACTATAATTACACTTATTTTTGTGTAAAATAGACTAAAATCTACTATATTTAGTGATATTTTTGTAAAAACGAAACTGGAAGAACACTTCGAAGATTCCGTCGGAGAAGACGGTTGCTGAACAAATGTTCATTTTCGGTAAATGTTCATTTTTATTTTAATAGATGTTCATTATGATATTAGAATATGATCATTTACATTTTTACCTTACATCTACTAGTGTTTATTCTTGAGAGAAGATTACCCTAATTTTGCTTATGATATTTACATAATAATGAATGTTTACTGGTATTTAAACACATGTTTATTTAAATGTAAATACGTACATGTTCATTCTCATATTGAAAATATCCACATAGACTATAATAAATTAATAATACATGTTTAACTTCATATTAAATTATATGGCTCATGAGCGTCATTTGAATATTATATTACATACATTTAGCTCTAATATTGATAGATGCTTATTCGAATTTGATACGTAGATGTTCATTTGGATATGTGTATATTCACACATATACTATTTTAATATGTTCATTCACATGTCAAAAAATGTTCAAACATAAATAACCTATTGTTCATTCATCATAAACCTTCGATGATTCTATTTTAAAATATAATTTAATCTTATGTTATTTTATCCACATTTAATATCAATACATATTAAGGCCCCGTTCTTTAGTGCTGCTTTGCTCTGCTCTGTTATGCTTTGCTCTGCTCTGATTGCTTTGCTGAAATCTGCTCTGCTGTGCTTCAATCTGCTCTGCTCTGCTCTACTTAAAATTAATACTTAATATTGAATTATTATAATAATAATTAATATTTAATAATAATAAAAAATAATTAATATTTAATATTTAATAATAATAATTAATATTTAATCATAATAAATAATTAATATTTAATAATAATAATAATAATAATTAATACTTAATAATAATAATAACAATAATTAATGATTGATATTTAATAAAAATAAAAATAATAATAATATTATTAATAATAATAATTAATATTTAATAATAATAATAATAGTAATAGTAATTACACTAATAGTATAATAATAATGCGATAGTAGTAGCAGCAGTAGTAGTAGTAGCAGTAGTAGTAGTAGTATTCTGCTAGTAGTAATAGTAATCTTCCCTGCTCTGCTGAAATTTGGTCTTCTCTGCTCTGCTCTGCCCAGAAGCTCAAAAGAACAGGGCCTAAGTTGTGTTTTGACATATTAAATTATTATTTTTAATGGTCATTTACATTTATAGATATTCATTTGATTTTTTTTTAATATGTGTTCTTTTTCATATTAATAAATGTTCATTTATAATTTAATACATATTCATTTAGAATTTAATACATGTTCATTTAGATTTTTTTTACGTTTTCATATTCATATTGAAATATTTTTACATATTTATAATGTGTTCATTTCTGAATTTGCAATTATTATTAATGTGTAAAAGTTCAATTTTGAATCCTTATATTTAACGTACTTTTGTTTGGAATGTGTTGTTATAATTTTTTTTTTTTAATAACCTTGATCGATCTCTTATTGTACAAGATAATCAAGTAAGAAAGCTGAAGGCGATAAATATATTGTGCTCATATTATATACGAAGTATTTCATAGAAAACACACATATATATATTAGAGGTGCAACAAGGAGGATACATATATATACACTTTATTGTATCAAATGTAACAAAGAAGTTCATTTAACAAGACACATATGTACATTTGATTCACTTTCATGTTTATGAAACAATTATTACATGTATATTAATAGTTTAGTTATATAAAAATGTGTTATTATTGTAATTAAATTAAATTTATTTTATATTGGAAATTATTTTTAACAACGTTTTATTTAAATAAGTAGAATTCTAAGACGTATGTATTTGTATAATATACATCTTACTATGAAACTTATACATAACTCTTGAAATGAACATTTGATGATACAAAAATGAACATTAGATGATGCAATGCTTCTTACAATAAAAATGATTTGAATGTAATAATCCTTATAAATAAATTTTCTCTCCTTTTTTTAATAGAAAATTCTTAAAATTCAATTCGGAAACTATATTAATTTGAACAATAAACTCCTTGTTATAAAAATGAATATCTAATGATACAATAAATGAACTTCTACCAATTCAAAAATGAACATGTTATAAAAATTTGCAGGAAATTCATAAATGAAAAAGGGCGGAAGCGAGGCACGCGCGGAGGGTGGGGAGGATGCAGGTAGTGTTCCCTACCGTGGGGTGTAGATAAAAATTTGTGAAGCCAACAAGCCAAGTCTTTAACCAATGGTTAATGAATCTCTTTAAAACCCATTAATACATCTCTTACGTCAATTTATTTATCTAAAGTTTCAGACCTCAACTAGCATAGTGCCCGTGCGATGCACGGTTTATAAATCAAATTATTGAGCGATTTCCGTAAATAATGCTAAAATAAAAAATAATTCCGTGTGTACGTTGCTTTAAAAATTATTTCCCACTATACCGTCCACGTAGGCTCGGATTTTTGGTTCGTATTTTGGCTATTAATAAACCGCTAATAAAGATTGCGGTTCTACACAAATTAGAACCACTAATGGTATTAGAGGTTCTTCAAATAGAACCGTTAATACCATTAGCGGTTCTATTTGAAGAACATGTAATGTTTAGAGGTTCTTTAAATAGAAACTCTAATGGTATTAGCGGTTCTATTTGAAGAACCTCTAATACCATTAGCGGTTCTATATGAAGAACCTGTAATGGGTAGAGGATCTTTAAATAGAACCTCTACTGGTATTAGCGGTTCTATTTGAAGAACCTCTAATACCATTAGCGGTTCTATTTGAAGAACCTGTAATGGTTAGAGGATCTTTAAATAGAACCTCTAATGGTATTAGCGGTTCTATTTGAAGAACCTCTAATACCATTAGCGGTTCTATTTGAAGAACCTAAACATTAAGCCTAATAAGTTACCGAGTATTTTAAGTATAAACCGCTAATGACATTAGCGGTTTTAATAAATGAACCGCTAATGATATTAGCGGTTCTTTTATAAAATCCGCTATTGTTATTAGCGGTTTATAGCCTCGGATTTTACAACCCAACACTAATCCTACGTGTACGGTATCACGGAAAATAGTTTTAAAACTGACATATATACGGAATTATTTTTTATTTTAGCATTATTTACGGAAATCGCTCTGTCGCCTCTTGTCCAAACATTTTTATTATCTCCGCCTAATAGCATCAACACTCGTGGTATAATTTTATACCACGGTGTAAAAACTCATTAAAAACTTGCAATTTTTCACTACATTGGTGGTATAAAAGTATACCATTTGATGGTATATACCATCTCACGGTAAACATTTGTTTCGATCCTCGTGAAATATGAACCAACTAGGTCACGCCATGTGACTTGGTTATCATGTATTTTTTTTTTTTTCAATTGCATTTTAAGAAAAAATTATAAAGTTAAAAATTATGAAAAAATTACCATTGTTTATAATTTTTCAAGATCTACACATAGACACTCATGTTGATATAGTTTTATATATTTTTTCGAATTCGCTTTTACTACGTAAATTGCTTATTTTATTAAATTAACTTTACAAACATTAATTAGTTATTTTTAATAATAAAATGAAATATAATTATAATTAAATTAAATGTATTATTAATAAAAATAGGAGAGAGAAAGTGTGGTGGTAAACTTTTTTTATACCATGGGTGAGATAATTTTTGGAGAAAGTATATTATATTGTGATATAGATGATGTGGAGGAGTGAGAAAGTGGTAGAGAGAGAGGGATGATATAAATTTTTGGATTTTCTACATGGTACCTCAAATTATTGCGTTTTCTATGTTATGCCCTTCTAAATTCAAACTTCTACACAGTGCCCACAAGTGTTGTGTATTATTTTATATATGCCCTTCATAAGCTGTTTTGTTAACCGTAATTAACTTATGGTTAAGTTAACCACCCACCTTAGTTAATTACTACTTAAATTTAACATAAAATACATAATTAAAACCCCATTTTGATCAAACCTCTCACACTCATTGATGATGTTCACAAATATGACAGAAAGAATTGTTAAATAATCTAGGCAAAGAAAACCAAAATGACAGAAAGAATTGGCACAAATTTGAATTTTTTCATTGATGATGTTCACACAAATCCACCTACAAAACAAACAAAGCTAATCATCCTTTAACTTACTACAATCAAAGCTAATTCACCCTTAATTAATTCACTTTTACATAAAAATAACCAGCAAAATAATGACGGATTGCTATTCACCCCCTTCTTGAAATTTTGATTCGTAGAAGACACCTTCAATTTAGCATGTTTTTGTATTTTGCAATTACATTTGAGTCGATTTGACATCGGAGAATGACAATACGGTGAATATTGGGGCTATATTGGACGGTTTTACGGGAGAGGGATTTTTGGGTTTTAACGGGGAAGGTTGCGGATTAGAAATTGGTTGAGGTTGTTTGCTAATTCGTTGTTGTAGAATTTGGATTTTAATTAGTGATGAGAAGATTGAGAAAGTTCAGAGTAAAAGAGTTCATTTTATCAATGTTTATTATGGAGAAGAAGAAGCTAACAATGGTTGGGGGGAAATAGAACCACAGTATCTTATAAAGTTATAATTACATCTTACCGACCTTGTTTTTAATAAAATAAATGGAAAAAAAAAATATTGCTAACCATAGTTAGTAGTTAATTTAAAGTGTTTAACAGTAACTTAATGAATGGTTAAAAGTGATAAAGTTAATTAAACTTGTGGGCACCGTGTAGAAGTTTGGATTTAGAAGGGCACAATATAGAATACACAATAATTGGGGGGTACCATATAGAAAAACCCTAAATTTTTATACCATGAGTGATGATGGTCTTAAGGATTAAAAAAAAAAAAAAAAAAAAAAAACACCCTAATTTCATATTACATGCAATGACTCGATCCGAGTTATCATCTACGGAAATTTAAGCATTTCTTAATAATTTTAGGTGCCACATAAATGCTCTTCTTTTAATTAGGGTTTTTAGTCAATTCTTGTAAAATTTAAACCCACAATCTTAAATTTAAAGGTATAAGGTGTTAGCCATTAAACTATTGTCACATTACATATCATTCAATAATAATTAAATATTATAACCGCCAAAAAATTATCAAGGAAAATGCAATAAATTGGGACATCATCCATGCCTAAAAACTAGTTAAAATTTTATATGAATGTACGTATGAAGCATCCGATCATTCATTTCTTTGTCTTGCTTTAAGATTACGAAATGTATTACAAAAAATTATTCTAGAGAAATACTGCCTAGTCTTTCAACTAAATGTACATTGACTTGTTCGTCTACTATTATAATACCCTAAGAGTATAGCCAATGGTTGCCCATTTTAGGTGGACATGAAGAGAGAGAAAAATAAAAAAAGCTTAAAAAATGAAAAATTTGTACTTTTTGTGAGAAATGGTTCATGACCAGGTCATGGCCATGACCATTTGTTGAGTGTGGGCATTTAGTGGTATTTCGCCACTTGTCCAACAAAGAGAGGAGGTTTAGTTTTTTTTTTTTTTCAATTGATGAAGACTCACATGGGAATGGAAGGAAAGGAGAATCAATGCCCACAAATTTGGAGGGCAACCAATGTGAGTGTATGGGCATGGGAGTTGGACATAAATGAGGTGGAAGAGAGAGAAAGTAATAAAAAATATGATGACCACCATTAGCTTGGGCATCCATTGGCTATGCTCTTTACATGTTCATATTTAATGAGCTGAACTGAACTTAACTGAACTGATCTGATTAGAGTTGAACTGAACTGAATAGAGCTGAAATAAATTATTTATGAGAGAAGGAAATTACTACCTCCATTTTTTAATTCTTGCTCCATTTCTCCATGCGCGGAGTTTTAGAAGAAATTGGAAAAAGTAATAAAATATGGAGATAGAGGGGGTAGTTAAGAGAATAAAAAATTGTAAAAAGCAAAAGTAGTACGTGGAAGAATAGGAGGAGATAGAGTATTATATTGGGTACATTAAGTGTGAGAAATGAATTAAATATTGATAAAACTTTCCAAAAAAGGAAATGGAGCAAGTATTTAAAAACGGCCGGAAAAAGAAAGTGGAACAAGTATTTAAAAACGGAGGGAGTAGGAAATGAATTGATTGGAGTTGAATTGAACTGAAATTAAGCTGAAGTGAACAGGTCCTAAGTCCCGTACAACGCACAATTTTTACTTAACCTAATTGTGTAAGCTATAAAATAGCATGATTTTGAGAGGTTATTATGTACGAGATACAAAAGATATCATATGTTAATTTCATATTTTCTCTTCTAATTAATTATTGGACATTGCTAATGAACACCTCTGGGGAGTTAAATAAGCATTTAATTTAAAGTACTTCCTAAATTAAAGTGATATTAATTTGAAAATGCATGCCATGACGTAGACGGTGTTATTAGTCTTTATTTTAATTTAATACTTCTACTTTTAGTTATCTTAACCAACATTTTGGGGACGTTCTAGCTTTTGCCTTAATGATTTCATGCTATTGGTAAAACGGGTGTAAAACACAAATTAAGTGTATGACTAAGGTGGTTTTTGTGAGCGAACTTTTATTATGATGTACATCACGTACGTACATTCTATACATCCAGTATTTAGTAATGCTAAGTACTAAATAAAAGCTGATTAAAACCAAATAAATAATTAGTTTCATAAAAAAAAAAAAACCAAATAAATAATTTAAGGAAGACTTTACTTTTATTTGTACATATGTTTATGATTTTCTAGCTAAGTTGTTCGTGCACTACTTCTCATAAATAATTTTTTTATTACAAGCTAGCAAGTCAAGATAGAGATAATTAGGTTAACACAATTACTAACTCGAATACATAATCGTTCTTTAAATCTTTTATGATTCATTTAGTACTTGTTGAAAGATAATCTAATATAGGAGTACATCATTAAGCTAGACGCTACAAATCTACAATTAACCATATATAATGGTATATACATATGCGTAATATAACTCATCGTACATAAGTCTTACCTCAACGAGGATTTATTTCAAGAGTCATTTAACTTAGGACTCTGTAGTCAAATACGAGTGGTTATTATTACACCTATTTAATAATACTTTCTCCGTTTTTTTATTATTGCACCATAGGAATTGAGTATAAATATTTTGGTAGTGGAAAAAAGTAAGAGAGAAAAAGGTAAAAATACAAAATTGCCTATGTGACATATTGATAAACTAAAAAGTAAGTGTGAAAAAGTAAGAGTATGTTGGGTATTTGTAGTGTGAACACAAATAATTTTTTTCCTAAAGAGGAAATGGTGCAATATTTGTGAAACTTACTAAAAAAGCAAGTGGTGCAATAATAAAAGAACGGAGGAAGTAATAAAAATTGACCACTCATATATACAGAGTATGAATTGACCACTCATATGTATGAAATTATGAATTTAGTGAGTACGAAAAAAAATAAAATTAAAAACCAAGTCTTTAACCAATGGTTATTGGTTAAAGAATCTTACTACCTCCACAGGTTATGTACAACAATTACACATTTTCCTTCTCTGCTCTATGTCATATCGTTGCACATAACATATAACGGAGGTAGTATAAAAAACCATTAATGCTTATCTTGTATCAATGGTTGTGAGGCTTTTGGGTCCGTATTATTACTGAAGGGAAGACACTAATAATGACCAAAAACTTTTGTATACATCCGGTTTATACTAATATTAGTGTACATCGAGCAATATAAGGGTAACTTTTAGCTAATTTTAGGGTAAATTTTTGTCTGTTTTTGGGTAACTTTAAATATAATACAATTTTTGTATAAATAGCCAACAAGAAAAGTTTTATAAAGGTAATTTAATTACATTTAATCACTAATAATTGATTTTTAGTCATTTAAAATGTGATTTTTTTTACTAATAAAGTGTAGATAATTTTTATTTGAATTGGGTTACTTTTATGCATATTGGGGTAATTTTTATTCATTTTAGAGGTAACTTTTAATCACTTTTAGCTATCTTTGTAATGGATGTATAATAATTGTACATTGGATTTTTTTTTTAAGTTTGTGAATGATGACTGAGACTAGCTTGTAGGTTTGAGTACAAGAGAGTTATCTTTAACTCTGACAATACTTCATTGATCACTCGACTCATTTATTTATCAATTGTCTATCAACTGTTCAAATACATGTTTTGTACCGCTGGCAAAGTAAGTCAATGAAGACAAATTAGTGAAAATTACTACTCATTGACAGTTGTTGGACCACCCATAAAGACACAACATTCACAGTTAATTGATTCCCAGACCTTCTCCTTCATAAATAGCGATTTATGATTAGGATACATTATACATCTTTATTCTTCTGAGCAACAATACAACCTCGAAGATATTTTTTCATATTGTTTCTCACTCCTCTTTTTATTCAATCCAAATCTATTCAAAAATTACTCAACTAGATGGAAGCGGTTGAAATGTAAGTTCTTTTTTTGTCCGTTTTTTTTCCTCTAATTTGTTGATTTGTATAATATGTTTTCAATTCTTTCTTACTCGTATTTTAAAGTTTTTGACTTAAAAATGTTTTTTTTTTTATTTATTTATTTTTTTTATTTTTATTATTATTATTATTTATTTATTTTAATTTTTTTTTATGTAGAAAATATGATATAAGGCAGCTTAAAGCAGAAGACCGGGTTGTTTTGGATCTTCAAGGCGAAGGTCCTTGGTTAACAAATTACCAATCGGCTATATATCAAGCTGGAAATTCTTGTTGTAGGGGTGGTACAATGGTGTTGGGTATACCTTCTACTTATGATGATCCTAATCATCCAATTTTTATTTTGACAATAATGGGAAGTTATAATAATATCGATGTTACCACCTCCTTTATAGTTTATAAACTCAATTCTTATTTTTCTGGTTATGCACATCATGATATAGATATGGATATAAGAAGCGAAGATATTGATTGGTTTATTTGTGAAGGTAGTAGAGTAGTGTTGTCATTTCCGGAAAAAGATGATGAGGTAAAAATGGCTGGGTTTACTGTGGATTATACCGCTGATATTATAACTGAACTCAGCAAGAATATGGGTGCTTAAAGTATCTTAAGAGCACTTTACATATTGAAGTTTAAAAATGAAAAAAATAATGTTTTTATGATTATGTCATTTGTTTGCTGAGCCGCTTAGGTTCACAGCCTTCTATCAAGCTGTTGCAGAAAGTATGTTTTTCGATGCCAATTTTTTTCAACCAGGTGTTTTAGATCCTACTACATGGGAAACTTTATCGAAAAATGTGGTACATTTTTCAAGGAAAATGAAGTTTATCAGGGCAGATCTTTATGATTTACAACGTTTACAAATAAATAAGGATAATTTCAGATAAAAAATAACAATGTTGTTAAGGGAAGATCCAGATGCAAAACTGCGGTGGAAGGAGAAGATGAGGAGTGAATTTGCTCAAAACTTCTTCGGGAAACGTAAATCATTATTTACTTGCGTTTGTTTCTATTTTATGTAGTGTTTTAGTCTCGTAGTCTATAACTCTGTACTTAGTATTTATTTACTTTTTTTAATTTTGTTTTATAAATATTATGTAGGTGAGATAAGGACAGGAATTAGAAGGAGACTGCCAATATTATTGGGGACGGGTTCATCAAGGGGTAAACAATCCCAACAGAATCTGATGAGACTTAAAAAAGATTTATACGATCAACAATGTCAAGTACAAGAAATGTTGATTCTTTGGGTGGTCTACCAGGTGATTGGTTTATACTATTCCGTATATACGTAATATTTGAGTATTATGTGACTTTAATAAGATTTCTCGTTTTTTCTTTAATTGTTTTTTTTTTTTTTTTTTTTTTTTTGGTATGATGTTTGGAACAACATATTTAGAGCTTTGAAAGAGCCCGAAGATTACATTTGCGGCTTGATTGTTGAAAATTCTGATTTTTACGTAGCTTCACAAGATCTGTCTTACTGTTTTGATTTTTACGGTAAGTTTCTAATTTTATAAACAATATAAATGTTACATTGTACTTTGTTTTAAAAAATCATTGATGTTAAATTATTTTTATGACAAGGTACTGATTACCGTATCAATGAAGCTGCAATGAGCGTTTTGCGATCTTTCGTTGACGGTTGATTAGGGAAAGTGGATTATGATCGCAACAAAATTCTGATGTTCGTGTTTTTCTGTATGGTGCAATTTGTAATGAGGCGGCTAACGAGGAGCAGCTCTTGAAATAGCTTTTGCTCCTTAGTTCATGTATATTTTTATTTAAAAAAACGATTAGTTTATTTGTTAGATTAGTATGATTAGTGATTAGTTTCTCTACCATTTGGATCAAGATCATTTGAATATCGAGGAATATGAATGGTTTTTTTGCTTTTCGAAATTTGTTGATTTATACTCCGTATCGATGGAAATTACATTTACATGTCATAGAGAGTGGCAAAGCCAATCGAATCCAACTAGAGGGATTGGTTTGGTTGCCAAAACAGCCTTTGATGGAAGGTCAACCATATTTTAGTTTATGATTGTTAACAAGATATGCTTGCATTTGATTTGATCCAAGACAAAATCCTATCCTTATACTACACAGGTAAGATGTCGAAAAAAATTATACTTAGTGCTTTATGGATTAATTTACCAAAACCTACAACATAGGTTAAACCGTCAAACCTAGGGCAACAATGATCGAATTAATTACTAAGCATACACAACTATGATCGAATTCAATAAAATACTCTATATTTGCAAACTTCTTGCTACATTCATGTGTTATACTGCACTATTCAGTTCAGCATTTTACCAGTCATGAAGTTAGAAATATAATTTATTTATTTTGAGAAATATAATTTGGCAAAGACGTTGTTGACTAAAAAAAATCAAACAGATGCAAAACAAATCTGTTTAATCATTAATATTTGCAATAACAAATTTGAAGCTTAAAACTTTGAGCAGAACAAAGTTGCTTTAGTACCCTGGATTCCACACAAAATGTGTAGATTTTCCAACAATTGTCGTGAATTTTGAACTTTAGATGCAAAATGACTTCCATTAATAGTTCCAATCAAAATTAAAACTATCTACTTGACATCCATATTAATAATAACACACACACAACTTAGTCTCAACTCTTTCTAGACTCAATACAACACTTGACATCATATATCCATAACTAACATTGAATTGTCAATGCCAACCCACACACACTAATAAGCTATAGTTCCAGCCTTCAATTTTAACCACCTCAGAACATATTTTATTAAGTTTAGGCTTTACATAGTTAAAAGTTGCTATACCTCTTAGTGCCTCGCCATACTCACCTTCAACATTTAAGTTAACTTCAACAATGAAGGAAGCATCCACTGGCACAGCAACTTTACGTTTCGACAACGGTACTCCTCCACCACCATCTGCCTCCACAAATTGTTCTTTCATAGGCTCTACCTCCACATACTCAGCCCTGCCCTTTTCAAAAATCATGCTTCGATAGTATTCCTTTTCGTAGGCTTTCTCGTATTCGTAGGTGCTATAGCTACCCCATATCTTCCCATGAACTCGACAAACATCACTACTTTTCTCAGACAGCAAAGTAACCTTCAGATTAGCTGATACACCATGCTCAAAGATTGTATAATGAACAGCTGCAAACCCATGTCTGCCTCGTACAATCGAACAGATCCGCCGGTCTTTCATTCCATAAATCGAATGATAATTCCATTCCAAATAACCTCTGCTAATTTCATGCCCTTCAACATCCTTGAGGTCAAAAAACATTCCAAAATGTACACGGAAGGCTTCATAACAATGAGGCTGCTCTACCGGGACTACATTTGTATGGGGATGCAACTTGACAGGATTCATCTTGTCTCTATTAAAGATATCATATACGTTAAAATAATCATAACTTGAGATTTTCCCATAGAGTTGCAAAGCATCACCAGAACGACCAAAAGAGCCAATATAAATTGAGAAAACCTCCACAAGCGTTCGATTATATTTCAACAGCTTAAATAAGGGCCGAATACTGAAAATTTAAGGAACAGCAAACAATTAGTCACACTTTACTCCTCATCAAACAATCTAATCAAACAATCAAATATTATTACGAAGCATCCTAATACGATCTTTTCAGAGTTATGATGTCAAATTTTAAGTTAACAATGGGTTTGAGATCACATTATGACGATCCCAAAAGATATTTACATATACTCCTTACCTCCTTGGCCCTCGTTCCTTGTATGTTTAACTCCTAACATTATTTCTTCCATCTTTTCAAGTATTAAATCTTTAAATCCAAAGAATAAGGAAGACTAAGACTTTTTAGCACATAACTACCAGTAAATGCATGAGCCACTTCCAATTTCTACTAGAACTAGAAAACTACTATAGTTGTCACACCACTAGTTTAAATTACACTACCAGTGTGAGCATTGTTTTCAAACAGTATAATTATAGTGCTTACTTGATGAATAGAGACTAATTTAAGAGATACAAAATTTTTCGGAGAAAATTGGAATGGGATCCAAGAGCCACTTACCTCTGATTGCTCACATCTGACAATAGATCATCATGAAGTAGCTGAAACCAAAAATAAAAGAATAAAAAGCTATAGTTAGGTGACTTGCATACACTGAAAGGTTACATAAAAACAGGAATTGCGGTGAAGCAGCAATAAGAAACAAATGCACCAACCTTGGACCTCTTTCGATGAGGCTCCTCAATGGTACTTTTGCCTGTATGGTCTGAGTTTGTTTCAAGTAGATAATAAACTGTCATTTGACGTTTAGTACTTGAGGTTGATCCTTCAGAACTATCCTTTTTAGTGGCCAACTCGAGAAAACATCCTTGCATAGAGTGATCAGTAGTATTATTTCCACAGCCAGAGTGTTGTTCACTTTGTTCGGGAGGGTAATCAGTACTACACTTATTAGGGTCAAAAAATACGTCCTTTTGGAAAAGACCTGGTGGAACTGGATCAAAGTCAACTAAACTTCTTGGTATCATCTGAAAATTTCTAAAGCATCGTTCCATATCATTAGATATATTTGGATTTTTCCAATCCACCACCACTAGAATACGCCAATTCTGCCCTGCAATTTCTTTCCTTCCAAGCATGCTGGTGGGTATGAATTCCAAAGCAAAGTCACTAACAAATGGCTGACCGTCAACCACTAAATCTGCTTTAAGTCAAAGGAAGGAATATGCGGGTACTGCCAAAGGAAGCAGCAATGTATGCGGAGTAAGGAACATGCAAATATGACGCATGATATTTCTTCACCACTCTCCATGACAGTGGTAGCAAAGATGGTACCCCCAACATTTAAACCACTAACAGTGTCATTCATAACACTTATACCACGTATGCTCCTTCCATGGTTTTTTAGAACAGTTAATGCCACACGAGCTAAGAGTCCATACTTAAGCATAGTATAATTCAGAGTGACCATCCCACTCCCATTCCCAGAAAACATTAATTGATGTTCTTTGTCGTAAACAATGCCATCTAAATCAAACACGTTAACAACATCAATGATTACAACATCTCGAATCTTGTCTACAAGTTTCAACTTCAACTTAAAACGGTCTGGTAGCAGAAAAGGGCCTTGGAGTACGGCTCTATGAAGGGTAGCAGGTTGCTTATCCTTCCTACTAACATTGAGCGAATCACTGAAATCACGGTGAAAGAAAAGGTGTTCCACTCCACCCTTGTGATGATCATCATCAACAAGGCAGATAAAACCATAAACATCAAAAGACGGATTGCCGTCATCAAGATGTATGCAAAGAGAGGACAATTCAATCAAAGGAGTTCCTAGAATATGATAATCATCTGTAGTATAAGGTTTCCTGATAATTCCAACCTTCCTGCACTTTTCGGCGCATATTTTTACGCAATTCAAGCTCCTCAGGGTCTTCATAAACCACTCTGGGAGCGGGAGCGGGAGCAGGAGTGGGACACTTTTCGGTTTCAAAGTCGATAATAACTTCATCAGAAAACAATTCAAAGATGATATCCTCTCTAGTAGGAGGCATTGGATCAGTCTGCAATTATTAGTATAATTAAGCATGGAAATTCTACAGATATTACATGTATATATTTCAACTTGAATTTTATGCAAGAAAACCCTAAAATTTGTCGATTCGTATAGCATAAAAAATCAAAATTACAAAAATCTTCAAAATTCAGAGAAATTGGAGACAGTTTATTAATTTGATTATTATAATAGAAATTTACAGAAAAACTTACAGATTAATGGTGTTGCGAAGAGAACAGCTTCTGCTTCTTCGTCTGTGATTTTAGAAATTTAGGTATGCAGTTTGTGCGAGTTTTATCAGAGGGAGAACATATATATTGCGTGGGATTGTGAGAAGTTGAGGTTAATGTCAAATATATGCAAAAACCCTAAAATTTCACAATCAAATTGAAAAAAAAACGAGATTATAAGAAAAAGAAACTTCAGAATTCAGAGCTATTGGGGAAGAAAACACAAGAAATTGATTAAATTGTAAAAGAAATTTACAGAAAAAACTTACAAATTAATGGTGTTGTGAAATTGTGATGTGTAGTTGTGTACAATTCTTGCTTTTTCGGAGCCAAAAAAAAAAAAGACGTAGAAGTGTGTGTTTGTTTAGGGTGAGGACAGGTCTATTGCGCGGGAACTGGAAAGTAACATAATCCGGTCCGATCCAAATATCCAAATACGAGTAATAATTAATTGAAAGTGGAATGTTAATATTTTGGATCGGATATTAGATTTTCTTCGGATATATAAAAATGTATCTTAATAAAAAAAATTGTGTAATAAATTAGATATTTCGTATATTTAAAAATTTATACTGCGTATAGAATCAATGGCCTTATAAGTTGTGCTCATAAAAAAACTAAGGGCATTAGGGCAAGGAGACGACGACTTAAAGTAAACATATACATATATCTAAAGACTAGGATAGCTTTATACATCTTTTTTTTCTAACTGTGGTCAAAAGTGCAGCACATAAAATACATACATGCAAAAAGGACCCAAGAAAAAAAAATATGAATATCAGATCACTTAGCCTAAACAAGGCTGTAATCTGGGGCTCAAGGCTATAATATAGATTACACTAAACCAAAAAGCTAGGAGAGCACAAGAAAATCAGATACCAATATTAATTCTCTTGGGAAGACAGATACTAGAAACCAATTCTTTGACAGGAACACCTTCACAAGAGCTTAGTCTGACAACAGATTCAGCAGGTAAACTGTACTTTTCCCGGGTTTCAGCAAAGCTTGTATACAGAACCTGTTCAATCCAATGATCAACAGCCTCCTTGTTTGAGCACCAGGCTGCTGCAAGAATTTGTACCATCACTTCATGTTCAATCTCTAGTGATATTTTCTCCCCTCTATATGTGTCCTCAAACTTTGACCGGACCTTCCTCAACAGTTTATCAGCAAGAGCATCAAAATCAAAGGGCTTAAATATTACATTTCCATCCACTTGGCCAAAGAAACCTTCGAGCCATGCTCTTCCACAGATGTCCATCTCAGCAGCCTCTTCTTCATCTTCCAATGGCAAATTCAAATCAAGGGAACTTTTTGGGGTTTTATGGGCACGTTTTGATGCCTCAAAGTTCTCTGCGGTATCATTGATAATGTGGGAAAGCTTCCTCTTGGCTGAGGATTCGTGGTTTGAGGAACATTTTGAGGGCAAAAGTGAGACAGTTGTCTCATTACTTCTGCTAGCATCAGCTAAAACACTTCTGGTCGCTAGCTGCATTTGCCAGTTTTTAGCTTCCAAGATCTCTTCCTCCTGAAATTTGATAAACTCCTTCCTTGGAGAGAGACTTCTCTCATCCTTGGTCACAGTAGAAGTTGTAATGAAAACCACATTATTTATACCGATTTCTCTGCCACGTGAGTCCTGAAATTTACCTGTCTGAATGGCACGGGACAAGCTATTTTGTACCACTAAATCTGCCTCATCTACATTTTCAAGGAAGACAACAGAGTGTGGCCTTTTACACAATTCCTGGGCTATATGATCCACAACTGTAATTCTGCTCTTATTTATGTCAAAGACCTGTGAGCCTTGACAAAGAAAAAGGGAATTAACCTTGTTAATCTTATCTTGCGAACTCAAATCCACGGAAATTAGGCGTTCTCTGCTTCCAAACATTGCATCAGCTAATGCTTCAGCAATCCTCTTTTTTCCGATTTTATCAGGTCCAAGAAAACTGAGCCATATATTCCCTCTGATGCTTGCAGACCGTTGACGTCCATTTCCACTCCTACAACATGAAACTATTTCAGAAATTTTGCTGATGACTTCACCTTGCCATGCAACCGCCTCACTCAATTTAATCAGAAGTTGCTTGTAGTCATTAGGGTCCAGTCCATGGAAGGAAGATTGAGCAGTTTGTGCAGAATCTCTCTTGTTAATCATCCCCTGATTAGTTGAGACGGGGCCTGGAAAGTGCTGTAAGTGAGTTTGACGATCTTGCAAGAAAGGCTTCTTTAAGTCGCATTTAGATGCATAGATTGTCCCTAAACCTAAATCAGTAGTGACAGAAACAGTCGTGGTTTGATTTGGAGGGAGGTTTAATTTATCAATAGGATACACCAGGGGAGCTATGCGCTCTCTCTCAGTTGATTGGCAATGTGGTATTTCTACTATGGCTGGTTTAGGGAAGTCAGGTTTTGTGGTGGCTTGCTCTTTAGGAGATACATTTTGTACCACAATCTGCATGCCGGAACTAGAACCTGAGCATGCTCTCTCATTCAAAGAAGAATCTCCGCTATTGCAGCTGCCACCCTGCATATTTTCTGTCATGAATGGGAAGCCCAATTGCGGCTGGGGAACTTGCAACCTGGCTAAAGAGACTCCTTGAGTAGGAAACATGGAGCTTTGATGAACAAGCCGACAATGATCATCCCATTTTTTCTGCAGGAGCTTGATATTATCATTTGATGCTGTTTTCACATCCTTGACCTGCGCTGAATGGATGAGTAGTTCATATAAAACTTCTACCAACATTTTTATAACCAATACTGAATATATTACGCTCATAAGGAATCACATGTTATAATAATCTTAAATGCCTAAAGTCCCTACGCGGCTACACCAAGATATAGATTTGGTGCATGCTTACGTTATTACGTACAAATAAGCAGATATTGTATGAAAAAATGGAGAAAAAATCTCAAAAAGGAGTTACACACCTTGCTCAAGTCTGAATCTGATTTCTGCAACCAGGAAGGCAAAGCTGCAGAGTGCTGATCAGCAGATGAAACAGATGACCCTTCTCTCGAGATAGCACCAAGCTCATGTTCATACTTTTCATTGCAAGCACTACAACGAGTAAATGAGTGCTGAGCAGTAGTTAACGGAGGTCTGTAGTCAGAAGGTGTTGGAAAGAAACCACCAAAGGGAACAAAGGACCCCATCAAGCTGTAAGTATATCATGTACACGCGACTGTCAGATTCAGTAGCAAAGGAGTCAGAAGCTCAAATCTGCATACATTTATTAAAGGTTTCGGCACACATACATGCACTTATGAATCATAAATTTGTGGTTCCACTCCTTAAACATTTTAAGTAAACCAATAATCTACGCACTCATTAGTCATTACTCACAATAAGGTGATCATAGTGATTTCACGTCTCAAAGCATGAGTTAAAAAGGCAAGAAACTTAGTCACAGATTCACTGTATCACAGTCCAACAGTTTGTAAGGTAGATGTTAACACATAACTATTGGTTTGGCAAGAATATTTCCCAACAATGGATAAAATTAGCCTCTTTCAAAAGGTTAAATCACCGTTTCAAAAAATTGTTCTTCAATCTGATCTTTAACTAATAAAATTACCACACTCCAAAACTGGATCATTTCATCCAATCCCAGGAATTAACTTATTTATCTTTCCTCGAATGAAAGTCCAGCAAAATTGTCATGAACTCAAATAAGTAACACAACCAAATACAGCACTTTCCCATTCTTCTCTTCATTTATAAAATCTTCCTCATGTCACACTGATATTATGTTCAATAAGTATTGCCAGAAAATGCAAATTGTTTAATCTTCTTCTACTACTACCCCAAGATCGTAAATAAATAAATAAATAAGGGATTTATTTGTACCACAGGAGTTCATATATTCAATTCATCTCCCACTAACATGTGACAGCATAAAGCCCCTAAAAATTACTAAATAAGTAACTATATACAATAATACAAGTATAATAAAACATTAAAGATGTCACATATAGTTAACAACATTAAAAGAACACAACACATGGTGATTAAGACTCGGGCTAGTACTCAAGACTTGAGATCAACCCGACTACGTCTACACACCAAACAAACTAAAAACTAGCACATGTTGTCTGTCATATACTGAATTAAAAAATAATAGAAATAATAATTTAATAATAATAAATCTCACCTGGATTTGTTAGAATTAAACCCATCAAATGAAGATCTAGAAGAAGTAATAGGCAGAGGATGAAGATCCCAATCTTTCTCAACTGTTGGAAACTTAGCCACAAAATTAGAGTAAGTTTCATAATTAGCAGCAAAACCAATCAACCAAATCTTTTTCCCATAAATTTCAACCAAATTACTCAATTTCTTAACCACTACTTGTTTCAATTTATCATCATCATTTTCATCATCATCATTCTCATCAACTAAAACCTTCAACTCTCCCAAATTAACCACAACTCCAGGCCTAGTTAACCCACAATTCTCCACCATTGATCCAACTTCCTTCATCTTCAAATCCAACTCTTCAATCTTAGCCTCGAAACACGAAACACAAGCAACAAACTCCTTAATCTCTTTCTCCAAACAAACCAACTTCAACCCATGAATTCCAACAGGAAACCCATCAAATTTCTGCTTCCAAACACAATCTTTAAACCTTGAAAGTGCATCCTTACCACATACACCCACAAGCAGAGGATTCCTCTCCTTCTTCTTCACCATCACCTCCCCTATCCTCTTACAATTTTCATCACTCTCCCCAAAATACCCCGGAAAATCAACCAAATTACACAAGAACAATGGAGGACACCTCGAACTCGGGCCTAAACCCGAACCCGGACCCGGACCCCACCTTGGCGGGTGTAAAATCGATATCTTTATCTCGGAGCTCCGAAAACCCGCTTCCCCAAATACCCGACTCACAATCGGATCATCCAGAATCGATAACACGAAATGCTTCAACTCAACTTTTATAGACGAAATTGTAATGTTCCCATTATTATTATTATTATTATTGCTATTTGTACTGTTATTCGAGTTGCAATTGACCTGATTGAAATGATACATCTCCGGCTGACGGCGTTGATTAGCTTGAGACCGTTTAATGGCGGCCATTAGAGAGTTGGAGATAGGAGGGGCAAAATCGTCATTACAGTCAGGGGTATTCTTGGAAGAAGGGAGACGATCCAGTGAGACACCAACACAAAGCTCGAGAGCTCGGAATTGAAGACGGGGAGAATACGCGGAGCTCCGACAACGTGTGAGAGATTCTCGGAGAATAGAGAATGATGGAGAGAGTAGAGCTGATACTGCATGAAGCGACGTCGTTTGTGCGTGGTATCTTCGTTTTGCTACTGATACGGCGTCGTCTAATGCCTTTGCTGCTTCCTCTGTTAAACATTGTCTCGCCGTTATTACCGCCGTCGGCATCACCTTTTACGGCGACTCTCCGGCGAGATCACCGGGAATTTTGACTGTAATTTTAAGTTGGGAGTTTAAAATTTACAAGATTATAATTATATAAGTATAATAATTGTTGGGGGTAAAGATAGAAATATTTTTGGAGTGGCAGAAAATAAATGAATAAATAAAAATAAAAAAAGGAAGGAAAAAAGAGAGAAATATGAAGAAATGGAATTGTCCAGTGAGCAAAAAACGCTTGGTGAGTATTAGTTCCTTCCTTACTGTGTAAAAGATCTTTCTTTTTATTATTTTTATTTTTATCTTTTATAAATTAAATTAATTTAATTTGGGTTTTTGCTTTTGTTTTGTTCCCCACCATACTTTTTGGTTGATGGAACATTTTATTGGGTTTGATTGAAATTGAAAAAATTATGTTTCTGGTTCAATTCGTGAGTTGGGTTTTACAAGTTTTTTATTTTTATTTTTATTTATTTATTTATTTATTAGAGACAAGAGGAAAAAGGGTTTCACAAGTTGACTTTGCTTACTATTGTTTCACTTCCTTTTAAAAAAAAAACACCTATTTTTGGGTTGAAAACTTGAAATTATAATATTATATACGATTATATACTAAATGATTTTTTTTAATTTAAATATACTTAATGTAAATATAATTATTGATTATATTAATACATTTTAGCATAAATTAAATCAACATACTGAGTATTTTTAAGTAATTTTACTATTATGGTTTGGAAATTCCTACAAAATGATTAAAAGCAAAGGGTGTACAAAGTACTTTATTACATACCCTTTTGGTTGAGATTTTAATAAAGGTTCTTTATTATAGTTAAGACTCTCCTGTCCCACTATAATGTTTTACAATTTGCTTAAAAGTCATCCTTGTAGGAGAAATTGCTCAACTTATTGTAATTACAAATAAATGTTTTTAATGTGTATGTATCAAATCATATTTAAAGTAAGGCTAATTTGGAAGAAACATTCATTGTTTAATTTAACTTAATTTGTACCGTATCCGATATGAAAAGTGTTATTAATTCGGGATACTCAATATAGAAATCTACTGTTTGAAAGTAGGATGGATTGATAGAGTAGATATTTTCAATTATATTGTATAAATTCAATGCAAAGCAAATTGTAAAACATTTTTCTATTTAGATCACCTACATACTTTAAGTTGTTTCCTTTTACAAAAATAAATTGTATAAAGAATTCGAAAATGACACTTGTTTGTAACATAATTAAAGGGGAGATATTTGCAAGTCTCAATTCTACCATACAAATGATACAATAGACAATAAGCACTATCTCATAAGTGATAAAATTGTCTTTCACTGTGATTTTGATGGGCTTATAAATGGGTTAATTTTCTAATTGATCCATGGTACTCATAATAAATGATGAAATTAGAAATGCTTAAATAAATAACATTAAAGTAGGATTCATTTGAAATTTTAATGCAACTTGTATTATCTGTGTGTGAATAAAAGAAAATTGTTAAGATTCGTGTTTATATCCCTACAAGAACTTTTGTTTAGCATTTTTTCTTATTGATAAATTATACTTGTACGTAGTTCCAGTATTTAATACAACATGTAGTTCCAAATACACAAAGTGCTATGTTTGAACTTTGAATATATACAAATCAAAATTTTAAAGTCAATATTCTTCTTATAATTTATTCCATGCTTTTCTCCCATGAAATTCTTTATGCTATCTATAATTTGGAATCAAACCTTTTAAAAGTTAAAATCTTTTTTGTACTAATAACATATTGTTAATAAAAATACTGAGGCTTGAAATTATAGAAGTACTTGTATTTTTAAAAACTCCTTTTATTAAAATTTTAAAGACATGCCATACAAATCATACAATATATTGAATATTGGTACATTATTAGTTGTCTTTTACTAATTTTGTGTGCCCGCATGGACGCATGGTATTGTGTTCAAGTGTAAAAAAAATTAGATTTTATTTAATTAACATTATAATCTATTAAAATTCTAAATAGGTTAAAGATAAAATGACAAAAATCAAAATATTGAGTATGTACTTAATTAAGTCACCTACATATTAATAAAATGCTCTACGCTTCCTTCAAAAAAAAAAAAAACAAGTCACCTGCATACTTCGTGTTATTAAAATGTGATATTTTAATAGTAATAATCCATTGAAGATTAAACTATAGCATGACATACAATATACGGCATATAATAGGAGTAGAAATAATCCACAATAATTTTTTATTTAAAAATTGTGAAGAAAAAAGGAAAAAAAAAAGATGTAGTAGTAGATGCAAGATGTCGTGTCCACTAAAATATATAGTCGGGTGGGGCAAAGAAGGCACTTGAGTCGTTGTCTACCTTTTGGGCGTGAAAATGAAACACAAACACAAACACCTCCTTTCAAAGAAAAAAGCCATCAAATCAAATCATGAATTTGTAAAGACTAAAAGTTTCATTGCATGCTGATAAGGGTGGCAACCCTTGGGTCCGCTTTCCACCACCCATCTTTCCCACTCAATGTTTTTCGGGTAATTTTCATCTTTCGCTTTCCCCGTTTTCGTAAGCTACTGTTTCGTATACTTCCTCCGTTTTTATTTACTTACGACACAATACGCGTTTTGAGGTTGAGATTATTTAATGCAAACTGTCAAAAACTCATACATGATACCTAACCCTACTTTGATCTAATCCTCATGTTAAAATTGTTTTGATATTAATCGCTCGTTTACCTTCACTAGTTAACCATCTCCTACAACTATGTGCCTAAAAAGTGTGTTATAAGTAAGAAGAAACAATGGAAGTATTATACATTCGGGTGCTCTATACATATAATTATAAAAATTATAGTTTATCGTTGAGTCAGATATGTATATATATCATGCGCTCATGTGTATGATATATACTACATACTTGTTCCAATTTACTGAAAACAACTGAACTGAATTAAAATGAATTGTTTACGAGAGAAGCTGAATTGATTGTAGCTTAAATGAACTGAATTGATTGAAGCTGAACTGAACATAACAAATCCTACATATACTCGAACAGTTGAATGAATGTTTATTTTAATATAGAGATATTTGATAAAGTCAATTATTTTATCAATTGTTTGACCAAAAAGTTGTTTGATTTCTCTTTATATTTTTTGGATGAAAATTCAGCTTTCCAACTAAATCTAGAAGCTAAGGGTTCGTTTGGCATTATTGTGGTTTTCTGTTTTTTGTATTCTAAAAGTATAAGATATGTGTCTCATAATGAATCAAAAATTATATAAACTTATTAAAATTATGATAATTTTGAAAACTGACAACAGAAAAGTGGAAACACCTTTTTCTTGTTTTATGTTTTTGGTTTTTGGTTTTCAAAAAAACAAGAAACTGAAAACCAAAATTGATGTCAAACAAGCCCTAACCAAAAAGTTGTTGGTTTTTTTTTTTTTTTGTTTTTTGGTGACGGGGAAGCTAAACAAATAATTAGAATAAAAGACATTGTCCAAAAAACATTATTTTGTAAAACCTTCAAAGATTGTGTTAGACACTTAGACTTACCTACTTATATTATTAAGGGAATAAGGGGTGTTACTTATGGGGAAAAAAAAATTAAAGGGTGTACGGAGTATATAAATTATACGTATTGTTACGTAGACGTAATATATAAGTATATTCCTATGAATAAATTTGTAATTAACTAACTATACAGTAGAGTACACAAATTACACAAGCTCACACATGTAGTATTTAGTACGTATGAATTCTGTATGAATAAATAATACTCGGACTTAATTGCCCTTGTTAAGTACACAACTAGCAATGGAGGTATGAAAAGCTTTAAAAAGATAAGTAATCGTCACTTCATCAGGTTTCGGGTGTACAAATGCTTAGCTAAGCTATAAAAATGGAGTTAGTTATTAAAATAAATAAATTATATTATAAGAAAACCTAGTTTCAACAAAAGTTTGTGAAAATGAACTATTAGAAGACTTAGAATTTAGAATACATATTGTCTAACCAAAATAATTCTTACGTTTGATTTGATAACAAAATGTGGTTTCGATTTTCTACTACTTATCCTTAGTTATGGGCCCAGTTAGATGATCTTTCGGTCTTTCATTATTGCTAAATATTGAGTTGGTCTTTGGATTATTTTTTCTAATAATCATGGTTTCGTAGGGATTAAAAGACTGACATTGACAAATTAACGTATTACGTATGTATTTGATTGCTTTCCAATGTCCAAAGTTAATTAATTAGCACACATATTGTACAAGTTGGTGTGTTCTTATCTACTCTTTATCTTGGGCAAAAACACTTGCGTGGACCTGGTCCACAATAATATTATTGTGGACCCGAGGTCTATACACACGCAATTGACATTATATTAAATATAGTGACCATTATTTTTAACATAGTAACCTTATTTTTAACATAGTAACCTTTATTAAAACTACTACAACGTTTAATAATATTGTGAACTTGAAATACGACGCTATTACCCTAATTTTAGCACAGTGGCCTTTATTATTCATATTGATCAGTATATAAAATATTTCATTACAAAAATAACCACTTAAGCCTATATATTACTAAAATGATTTTTATTTCAACATAGTGACTTTTTTTAAAATTATAGTGACCCTTTTTTTTGTTAATAAAACAACCATACTTTCTCTAATGTTAGTGGTCCACAATAAATTAGTGTGAACCAAGTCCATTTAAGAATTTGTAATCTTGGGTCTAAAATAAATCACGAATCATTTGAAAAAGTTTAAACTATTTTGAAATTATTAATTTTGATTAACTTGCGGTAAACATTCTCTCACTTTGGACTATTATTAACTAATTTAAAAAGCATATGACGTTAAATAACATTCTCATATTTTGGACTAGTAATTAAAAGGGGCTTGATTTGACATGATTTTTATCATTTAATTTAAGTATACCCTTGGAGATAGGGAACCAGGCTTAGGAAATATTTTATCTGGTTCATGTTGATCTACAATGAGTCAATATAATGACTTTATACGTATAGTTTGATCTACAAGTTTAATGCAAAGGGTCTACATAGAAAAGTGTTAGATTTTTTGTTTTATTTATATTAAGTGGACTGATCCGTTGTGGGCTCGTATTCACATTAAAAGTCAAAATAATTTCTATACAAAGCATACACTCATACAATTTACCAACTTGAATCTCTTATCGTGCTAGATTCAATAGTACGTACTTCATAAGCATATACCAAGTTACGTTAGGCTAAGTTGGAATCAAACTGTTCCGATTAGCCGTGTACTAGAATCATCTTTACTCTTTTCATACCCTCTTTGTTATTAGTACTATGTTAGTACAAATTGAGCATTTAGTTTGGGTGGCAATTAGGAAAACAATAGGGCAAGAACCTTAAAAGAGATTTTTAAAAATTTGTACGGTTGGATGATGTATAAAGTACGATCTTCTAAATGTAAATTCTCT